AGGCACTCTTAAATATTTTTCTGGAAATGAAACCTGCAGCAAATGTGGAACACTGGTTCAGGAGTAGGAAAGTTAAAAATGCTTTTTGCTATGGGGAGGGAAGAGAAAAGTTCTAAACTATTTTGTGTAATACCAACTGTTGTATTCTGGGCAGTCCTGTCTCATCAGTATTCGCTTCAGGAATGCTAGTTACGGGGAACTGCAGGTAACCTGATGGGATTTTATTCTTTGATTTCTCCATGGGACCTCTAAGTAACTGTGCAGAAATCATGGGACTTTCGCTGTGCAGACTTCGTGTAAGAGATGGGAGGAGAGGAAGTAGAGAGGTGACAGAAGTAATGACGAGTAACCTTAACAGAAAGGGCTGAAAGGGGGTGAATTGTCTGGCGTTCCCCTGAGCTAGCTGTGCTGTTTTTTTCTTTAGTAGTGTGATTTATTTTTGGAGCAATCTTACAGAAACAGATGTATCACTCAGTTTTGCAAAGGTTTTTTAACTGGGGCTCAGCCTTTTCATGACGACTGCTTTCAGTCATCCCTTATTTGAACTTTCTTTTGGACATCCCCTATGGGCATTTCCCTAGCCCGTAAAAGGTGGTGAAATACTCATTCTGCTAATACACTGCTACTCCCTCCCTCCATGTATTTAAAATAATAGTCATAAGCATTATATCAGCCAGTGGATTTAAAGCTACCGTGGAGAGTAGAAGAATGCACAAAGAGAGTCCCAGGAAATGGCAGTATTGGTTGGCAAGTGATTTAGAGAGAGGATAGGGGAAAGGGATCATATTTGCATGACCATGGTCGGGAAGTGAACAAAACATATCTTTGCTTTATATGATTTTGCTGCTGTGCTAAGAGGGGTTTTATGGGCCATGTAAATTCAGCAGGAGTAGAGTTTGACATACGGAAAGTTTATGGGGTTTTGCATGCAACTTTATAATTTTCTCTTAGCTGGAATATATGGCATGGATTGTTACAAGTTTTGGAGATGGAGAAATAATGTACAAGCAGTTTTTGGCTTTTTTTTCTCCACATAGAGTAACATCTGGAATTAACAATTTCATTTTAAAAGTCTAATTATTTTTGTTGAGACTTGTATTTCTTCGTAAGTATAATTTAGTCACTGCCTGGATGACTTTGGAGGGAACAGATTCTGTAGAAGTAATAAATAATCAGCTAAGTTTGATTATTCTTTTTTTAATTGAGCATGTATGTGAATATAATTATACACTTTTCTTGAAGATTATTTAAACAGGCTTAATTTTACAATATTTGCTTGATTCTTAGATAAAAGATCTAAGCCCTGTGACTGTCTTTTTAAAGAATGAACATTATCCCAATTGCAGTTTACATGTTGGAAACATGGAGTTGAAATAAACAAACGTTGCTTGGTTCTGTTCTTCACTGAATAATTAACTGTTATGATGTAGTATGATTATTTGGGAATAACACTGTGAATGCCCCTTCCATAGGTGTAATGAACCAGTGTTAAGTCTCTGCCAAGGAGGAATTGCTGTTATCAGTATTACACAACTTGGTTTTTGGCATCTTGAGTGCATTGGTGTGTATTGGCTTAATTTGAAATCTGGAGTGTGTTTTTTGTGTGAACTGCTTTTCTCAAAATATTATGTGTCTCAAAAGTCTTCGACAGACTTGCTGTGAATTGTTTATCTGATGATGATCAGCATGTTGCTACATAATGAAAATGCTCAGTGATGAGAAGTATTTGAAATTCACCATATTGAGGATGCCCATGTAAATCTTTACACAGTCTGCTGTGTTACATTGATGCAAGTCTGGGATAAACTTTCAGCTTCATTAGATTTGTGTGCCATAGAGAGTAGACCATGGCCAAAAATATTTCCTTGTGTGGTAAACAAAAGAGAGTTTCATAATGCTAGCAATTGAGACCAGGCGTAATTATAGCCTCTTCCTCGGGCAAAAACTCAGTTTGTAACCTGTGGTTCTGCACTGTTTTCTTCCAGTTTTCTCTCCTAACAATTACATACAGTTTAGATTCCTGTCTTGAGCCTCATAAAATTAGCATTGCTTGCTGCCTGCCGTGGTTGTTTTCCTTTCTTTTTTTCTTTTTTTTCTTTTCTTTTTCCTTGGCATCTTCCTTAGTGGAGAACCACAAAAGCTATACCAGGTGACAACAAAGAAACCTTGGTCTAGGCTCCTCTAGGTTTCACAGTAGATTATGCAGAGTTCTTGTATAAATGGCTGAGTACTGAATCTCCTAAATGAACTGTTTAACTGAATTGCTTGGAGAGCCCATAGTGGAATGTACTTAAAAAACAACAGGGAACAAAAAATGCACATTTTTCTAATTCAGATGCAAAGGCTGCATTGCAGAATATTTCCAAAATGCCACAGAGGAAAATTTAATTTATTTAATGTTTACATTACAGATGAAATGGAGAGATTGACTAGTTGGTCAATTAATGTCAAGATCTACTTACACTAAACTCCAGTATCTAAACAGTGAGTTCTTGTGACAGTTGTCTTGCTTTGGAACAGTGCAAGCGTCAAAGCTTGCGAAGAAGTTGTTTGGGAGTTAGGAAACAAGGAGAAGCAGGCCTAGATACAGAATAAACTTTCTGTGAAGTTTATCCATGAATTTCTTCAAAACTGCAAGCTCTGCAAAACTGTCCTTTTCAGAGAGAGTCGCAGACATGTCCTGTAAACTTTACCCAGAAGTAGAACTCTGGAGGGAAGAAGAGCGGTTAAAATCTAAAACAAGAATTCTATTCTGTTTTCAATATCTACAAAGCAGAGAAACTGGAGCAACTGGCAGAGATGATGGCATTGCTGGTTGGTTGGTTGTTTTTGGGGTTGTTTTTTGTTGTTGGGTTGTTGTGGGGTTTTTTTTGTTTGTGGTTTGTTGGTTTTTTTTTGTTTGGTTTTTTTTTGTTGGTTTTTTTTTTTCACATAGAAGAGGCTGTGGAGATGAGGGGCTTGCAGCTCCGGGCACAATGCCTGGACCCATTATGGTGCAGAACCTCCTCACATCAGATTAGTGAAGTTACCTGGATGTAATGACGCTTTTCCTTCCTCCTGGACCTCTGTCTCTTCAAAAACATCTCCCATATTTTCAAATGCAAAAAACCCAATCATGACAGAGATTTTTCGAAACTAATAAATTTGGTCTGTCTGCCATCAAGTGTGTTCCTACATAACTCTGGAGTTCAGCTGTTCTTTTTCTTTATGGTTTACTTTTAATACGAATCGTAATTCTGACAACATCTTCCGATTTAACCTGAAGTAACATGATACAAATGTCAGCAGTGGGGTGATACAGGGGAATTTGTGACTTCAGCTTCTACAGTGAGTGATCGAAGTGTCTAATGAAGCATTGTAATCACAATTCAAATTTATTTCTCACGTGTTTCATCCCCTGCTTCAGCCTTTCGAGGACGTGAGCTATTCTGCTATTTCTCTGACTAATTTCTGCTGATTAATACACTTCACTGGTGGAAAGATTTTCCTGAGAGTCCAGCCTGAGTTTTATTCCTTCAGCCTAAGTAATTTCTACTGTGGTGTTTATGGAATTATGTTCATTATCTTGGCTTTACACTGTGGGTAAGACCAACAATGTTTCCTGAGGCTATTCTTAAGATCAGGCTGACTGTACATCTCCACTGGTGAGCGTGGCCTCCGAGCACCCAGGCTTGCTCAGGGCGGTCAGACGCTGCCATTTGTATTCCTTGGGGCTCCTCTGGAGTTTCAGGTAGGCCCACATGAAAGCAGTACTCGGAATGTGACATCAATTTTTTTTTTTATGACTGTTCTTGTGCCTGACGAGCAGCTGTGTTGTAGACGTTTTTGAAGACAGTAAACATTTTGCCTAGAGCTACATGTTGAATTGTTCAAAGCCACAAAGAAATCCCATGTTAAGTTATTGCCATAGACCTGTGTGTTGCACCACGCTGGGAAACTCTCATTAGACGTACGGGTGGAAGCCTGGCGCTGCAGTGGCCTGGTCTGGCCTCATGTGGCAGGACAGCTTTCTGCTTCTAGACACTTGTGCTGCTAAAGCTCAGTGCAGGTGTTGAAGTGTTGAATGCAAGCCCGTTTGCAGTACTGAATTTAAGGATGGTAAAGTGCAAATGTGAAATGAAAATGAGGAACATGAAGAATCATTTGGGGAATTTCATGGTCTGGTGAAATATATTTTTGTTTTTGAAGAGGTAACTGATATTTCCAGTTGCCAATCTATCTTCCAGAGGAGATACTGACTCTGTCATAGGCTTTTGGTAGCCCCCTCTGTTGTGTTACCTAAATGTTTCCTAAGTTACAGAAGCCATATAATATCCATCACATATATGGTATTGACTTTTGCAGTTCTGTCCCCAATTAGAAATTTCATTATTGCGTTATTTTAAACATGATATTTCAGTTACTGTAATTGCATTATATTTTAAACATGATATTTCAGTTACTGTAACACACTGTGGAAATAATGTTACTTTAAACTAGTGTACTTTTCTTATGCAGGAAAGAAGCAAAAGTGATTTTAAAGTTAGCAATCTGTGCCAAAGTCAGCTTGCATGGACGCTTTTCACTTACTAAATGAAAAGCCCAAGGTGTCTTCTGCACCAGATGAGTTGAATTGGCTACTGTGATAGGGCATTACTTATGTTGTTTTTAATCAGTTTAAGCTGAACCAATGCACGTTTTTATGTAGCTAAGACCTTAGGTCAGAAGGATGTTGGTTCATAACATAGAGTGAATTCTAAAGTTATGATCTAGAATGTCTTACAGTGTCTGTGTCCTGATATGTGAGAGGGTCCTCACACTCTGTTGCTTCCCACACTTGAGAGTGGAAAGCTCATGATATTGAATAAGAGTGAGGATGAGAGAGAGAGCACTTTGACATACTATTATTATACTACTGACACGCTACTGTTACATTTAATTTAAAATTATCTATATTTCACTTAAAAGTATGACTCAAAAGCTGAGGGAGAGTCTGATATTATTCCCCTTGCTTTCAGCCTCAAGAAACAGCTTCAAGGTCTCACACCTTCAAAACCAAGTCTTTTAAGAAGTCCAAAATTTGTGGAATCTGCAAACAAGTAATTGATAGCCAAGGCATTTCCTGCAGAGGTGAGTAACATATGATGTGCTGTTTACTTTCTTGTTGTGTAAAGGAAATTAATTTTATATTAATGTTAAAGTTTTTAGGAAGCCATGTTTCTGGAATTCCCCCTGGACTAAGTATAAATGTTACCTTGGTTTATTTCCTTCCTTTGTATAATAATGTTCCCTGCTTTTGTCAGGGAGTGGGGTGCTGTAGTAGGTAATTGGACTTGTATAATGATGTGCTTTTATTACTGTGCTATTCAGGCAGGTTCCAGAATAAGGCAATGCCTGTGGAGGCATTCTGAGGAGCATGTGAGTGATGTGTGCACAGTGGGTGACAGATGTCTCTGGAATTCAGTCTCCAAATGAAGAAGTGTGTGACCCTCACTCGCTGAGGCATGAAGGTTTTCTCTGCATTAATTTGCAAAAATTCACAAGAGCAGCCATCTATTTATTTACTTTAATTTTTCCAGTTGCATTATGCTCTGTCTAATCCTTAGTCCTTCAGTCTAATCACTCATAGAAACACTAAAGAGATCGTCCTCCTGAATGTGCAGACTACAGAGACTCAGCTGCGTCTGGCATTGCTGCCTCCTCCTTACTGCTGTTTTCCCTCACTGTTCGGTTCTCCCTTGCTGGGTAGAATTGAGCATACTTGCCTCTTCTCCATGGGATACCTGTGGTGGAATTAAATCTTGGGAAAGCTCAATAGGTCCTTTCTGCAGTTGTCCAGGGATAGGGGTTTTGATCCCCTGTACTGGTTTAGCCTGGTTAATGTTCAACTCCTGTTATTCCATGTTAATAAAACAGTCTCTTTATTTGCTGCATGCGTGGTTTATCTCCTATAAGAGAATGTTATTGTCTCTTCATCTGTTGCTGTTTTCACTTAGAGGTGTTTGCACCACTTCCCAGTTCTAGATGGTTCTCTTTCTCCCACCTCCTCCCTCCCTCCCATATTCTTCAGACACCTTAGGATCCCTCTGAGGGTTTGAGGGAGGTGAGAGATTTGGATGTGGAAGGAATGTGGCCATTTCCTGAGCTAAGGTACAGGCTTTGCAGATGAACAGCAAAATGTAAAATACCTCACTAGTTCAGCATGACAGTTACCATCATAGGAGTGGTAGTTATGTATGTATGTATTTAACATAGCTCTTCTGTCTGTCCTTCTGGAGGTTGGTTCCAAAGTTCTTAGGGTTTAGTTGTTTTCAACTTAGCAGAAATAGTATTGTTGGAAGGAAGCCTGCTTAGTGAAGGAACTGCCTAAAGACTCTATTGATCAGGTTCAGTTTAAAACGCACTGTACCAGGAGAGAATCAGTATTTTGAAGGGGAAGGCCTTGGGGGTGGGAATACAAAAAAATATTTGCCAGTTTGCTCTGGATTTGAGTTCTCACAGCCCAGAGCTGGAAGTCTCAAATTTGCAAAAGCTGTGTCAGTGTGCTTACCTACCAAAAGTGCTAAGAGCTTCACTATATGTCTGGTAAACAGGTCAGAGGTTAGGATGAGTCTGAGCAAGTTTTTTCCTTTTACCCCAATGTGTAATAGCTTTGGTTGAAATACAGAAACTAACAGTACATGCCAAAGTAATTTAACAGCTCTTTGGCTAGTGTTTATACATGGTTTAAAATATCAGGAAGAAAGCAAAACTCATATAGTCAAACCATCAAGGAAAAAAGCTTTCAGGAAAAAACAAAAAAATGAGGAACTAAAATTCTACAAGTGCTCCTACTGGGATTCCTCCAACAGACTCCCCAGACCAATACATTCATGGCTATGATACATCCGTGTCCATATCTAAGTCTGTCTGGGATAACTTTCTCTAGGTTTCTGGGTGCAATTTTCAGAAGGAGCCCCTTGATAGTCCCTTTTGTTGATGTGAGCACCAGGCAGACCCACCATCCTTCTTCGGTGCTGGTACATTTTGATTGTTAGTTGCTTGATACTTACCTGTGGGATGGGAGCAACAGGAGTTGCACAGAGTGAAGTGATGACTTCAAGTAGTTTCAATTTAATAAGAACCCATTTGTATTTTAACTTACAGCATGGGCTTTATAAAGCAGAGTTTTGGAACAGATAGAACTAAAAGTTGTCTGTTCCCTTGCCAGCACTGCAGTACTTGAAATGTACCCTAGTACTGTGAAACTCTATTAATATGAAGAAAAATAAACCAGCTGTTTCAGAGCCAAACCCTGGTGCTGCTGCTTCTGGTAAATTCTCCCTGATGTTGCTGAATGAAAGTGAGCAAGCTGGTGTTGAGGGGAGAGAGAAGAAAAGTCTTTAGTTAAGAAGAAATAAAGTTCCTTTGTGTATTAATGAGAAAATCTTGCTTTTTAACAGTTTCTCCTCAGAAAATAATAGCTCTTTGTACAGACTGCAGGTTCCTTCCAGACTATAATTTCTTATCAGTTAAAGGAAAGTTACATGTCAAGAGAAATGAGGGGAGGGGAAAGGCTCCAGATTGGTCACTATGAAGTATTTCCTGTTTATCTAGCAATGAATCACCTACTTGTTGTAAGAAGAAGAAAAAAAAAAAGGCAGCCCTAACTGGGTGTTGTGTTGGTTAGATAAGTTTTCGTTACTATGTGGCATTTTGGGGGTGTGTTGTTTAGCCCTGTCTTGCAAAATGTGTCCTTTGCTAGTAGCCAGGTCGAATGCAGTGCCTAAAAGCTTCCTATGAAAAATGAATGATTGACTGAAAGGTACGCTTGAATGATGTCCCTTTGTCCTTGTATACTTCAGTCCACCTCAGTAAAGCATACTCAGTTACAGTGAATTTATTTTTAACAAGCTTACAGAAACGGTGGCAAAAAGGAAAGGCAGATTTGAAGAAGGGGAAGCTCCTGGCTGTCTCCCTGCCTGGTAAGCATGTTTGTAGCTGGGCTGTGTCTTTAATGCAGCTTCTCATTATGAAGAAAAGACAAACAGCTGTTGATTTTTCTACAGTACCTGCACATTCTGCAGTAAACTGAGAACCACATAACTCCCCATATCTCTTCAGCATTACCTCAAACTCGTATGCTTTTGAGCTCTAGTTTGATCTTCCCTGTAGTACAGTTCAATTTAATTTAGGGCTAAGCATATATGCATCCTAATCATGCACACTTACATAGTTAGCCAGAGGCCTGCAATGTTACAAAAGCCTTTTGATTTTATTTTTTTTTAAGCTACTTACCCTACATATTGAATATTCAGTATTTTACTTTATTTTTAAACAAGCTGTCATAATGATGTAATTTCTATCTATTTTCCATGTGTATTTCTATTTTATTATATTTCTTTTATATTTTATATATGTAAAATATAAATTTCTTTTTTATTTCTATTTTACTTTATTTTCCTTTGCTTTTTAAAATTATCATTTATCTTCGTTGTGTTATGATCAAATGACTGTTAGTGTAGAACAGAGAGCTTTTTAGATGCTCTGAATCTTCCCAATCTCTAGAAAGTACTTTTCTGGCAATTTAAAAAATGGAGGTCAGATTTGGGAAATTTGAGTAGTTTTAAATAATGCTATTATTTCATAGCTCTTAGAGCACTGATGGGTGAAATAAGTATGAAGAATTGAAACACTTTGCATATTTCTGTTGATGAAACTCCCCTCCCCTCCAGCTGATGATTAAGCTAACCTATTTAGGTGCTGCTAGTGAGGCTTTACATGCAGTCCATGAACTAGATTTTGAACTTAAAGCAATTAATGGTAGTTTGAATGAACTGTGTATCTTTTTGTTAATCTAGCCTAGCCATGAATGTGTTGGTTTTGGGAATATCTGTTGGAGTGATCCCAGTAGGAGTGCTTGTAGAATTTTAGTTCCTCAGTTTTTTTTATTTTTTCCTGAAAGCTTTTTTTCTTGATGGTTTGACTACATGTGAGTTTTGCTTTCTTCCTGATATTTTGCACCATGTATAAACACTAGCCAAAGAGGTGTTAAATTACATTGGCATGTACTGTTAGCTATATTGTGAGCAGAGAAATGCTTACCATGGTATTGTGTGCAAGCTGAGTGTAATAAAGAATAAAATTGACCTTCTTTACTTAGAATTAATCTGTATAGTAACTTCTGTCTTGTAAGTCATGTTAACGTGTGGTCTCATACAAGTGTTGATTGGCTTACAGTAAGTCCTGGATGGTTTCCTTGAGCATGTAGTTTGAAGTGATAATAGAAAGTACATTTTCTCATCAAATTACAATATCTGTGTTTAATCAAGGGCTTCCAGCCACTTACAGATCATAGATGAGTATTTGAAGACAATTGGAGCTGTTTTTCTTCTTAAAGAGGTTTAATATTTTCCTTTGAAATTCACCTGCTTGTTTGTGATTGTGCTTGTAGTCACAGCTAGCGATCCACTTAAAATGTCTTTTTGGGTTAGTTGGAGTTACCCAATACAAAGAGGTCTCTGTATTTAATCATTTAAGCATTTCATTGCTTCTGGTAAGACAAAATACATTTTTTTATATTGAGACTCATTTGGAGCTGACAAACTGTTCTTAAGGCTTGTTTGTGTATACTGTGTATGTAAATACATGCATATTTAATCTTACATGATACAGGTGATTTTATATACTCTATCTTTCAGTAAGTGCTAAGTTCAGTAATAACATATTAGTATGTTAATAATGTGCAAAGCATTTCTGTGGTTACAGTTCTGGCAGACAAACTAGAAAGCTAGAAATGCTAAAGGAATTTGTATCCTGCTTGGGCCAGTGGCATTACAGTTGACTCTAAACGGCGAAGCATGTAGTGTGTATTTGTGGGGTGGGGGTGTTTGTGTCACCCTGGTTTCCATGGAGGCATCCTTGTAAAATAAGATCCTGTATTACTAGGCACTTACATGGATGTATTATGAGATATATATTAACTGTAATTTCAACATAACTATAACATAACCATCTTATGGTTAATTATGACAATAGGCATTGGTTAATTAACCATAAGATGGTTAATTATGGCAATAAGCATACCCATATAATTATGTTAATATTATAGTGCGGGAGATCTTTGAGAAAATGAAAAGACTGTCATCAAA